TTCCCATTTCCAGTCTTTATGCTAACCAGCTTCATATTTAAGATACAGACATTAGAATGATATCAATCTTCTTGTCCAACTCTCGGCAAGAAAATGAATAAACATATTTCTCAAAACTATTCCTTAGGAAGACACAGGTTATATTTAAATAGCTAAATGTTTATTGCATTCCCTTGAAAGCCCAGACAAAGACAATGAAACATTTCTTGTTAGTAGAACAGTAAATAAACAGACACCATGCGTATGGAGTCGTAGAGATCAACTCACATGTGATAAAACTGCACTGCCCTGGACAGAAGGTGAAAAAGGACAGAGTTGAAACACATTTAATACAAACCTTAGCACACAAATTACACAACTACAGAGGAAACCTGGTGTCACCTGATGATTAATGGAGAAATTATTTGTTAAGCATTTCATGTAAAGTCTTGTGAGACAATCTATATAGATTACGAGTACAAGTACACACACATCTGTGTTCTGCTTCACTTTAAGTCAGCGTGGAGAGGTGAGGCAGGCACGTCGAGGCCTGAAAGAGGAATGTGCAGCAGTCGCACCGCTTGTTCAGCTAGACTACATTATACAGATTAATTAAAATTTAAAAGAGCAGTGGTGATACAAAGGGGGGTTTACAGCGTGGTCTTTACAAATCTTCAGACGAACCATCAGGAGAAAAAGAGGAAAGGACATGACATAAAAAAGGACAAAAAAAAACCCCAAAACAATAATGTTTTTACTGACCTGATCCTTCTTGGACTTGAAAGACGAGGCGACATGAGCAAGATACTGAATGACTTTCTTGGTATTCTCGGTTTTCCCGGCTCCTGATTCTCCACTGAAGAAAAAGACACAGTACGTAGAAACATTACAGTATGCTGAACAACATGATAGGGGCAAATACTGGTAGGGCCATTAAAAGCAACAACAAATCATTACGTTGGACTTTTTTTTCATTGCCTGCAGAAATATAAAACAAGAAAAAAGTTTCCAAAGTCAAGAACGAACTTTGAACTTAATTTCTTTACCGAACATGGACAGATGGAAATCTGTAGGAGCTCAAAAAACACTGGATTCCAAGACAACCTGGCAAACTATCTGCTGACAGAGATCATGTGATGTGATCTAAGGCTCCAGAACGGAAACTAAATAAAGCTGCAGGCGAGACTGACCTTCAATAAAAATGTCGCTCAATTGTTCTTCTTCAGAAGGGACAACAATGTTTAATCTTGATCCTACAACCGATAGAAAAAGACTGACCACTAAAAACTGTACACTGTTCTAAACCTACAAGTTACTGCGAAGACAGTAGAGAGAGCAGGGTAACGTACGTGCAGAGGATGGCCTGGTCCTCGCGATCTGAGGGGAAGAGAAAGAGGAAAAATGTTGATCAGGAAAAAAAAAAACAAGTTGACACAACAGAAAAACACAGGCAGCCAAAAGTGAGAATAACACAACATGCGACTGTTTAACTGTGTGTGTGTGTGTGTGTGTGTGTGTAAGCTGTGGAGGTCTGAAATGACCTGAAAATGAATCGCCAACTGCATATCAAGTTAAATCACAGTGTAATTTCTGATATGTTTTGGTTAAAATTATTTATTTATGAATTGATTATTATTAGTAGCAACATTGAACACACTGTACAGATATACAACTGTGGTACCCTGCATCATGCTCCTGTAGGCCGTATCTGTGATGGCGTAGATGTGAGGGGGCATCTCATGTCTCTTCTTGCCCTTGTACATGTTCACTATGTCCTCAGTGTAGATGGGCAGATACTTGTATGGGTTGACCACCACACAGAAGAGACCAGAGTATGTCTGAGTAAGACAGAGGACAGTTACAGAGAGGTGTTTTAATGCATATTAAGAGTGCACACAATAAATTGAAATAAAAACATGAAGCGAAATCTGTATCAAACTCACATAGATGAGTCCGGAGTAGTATCTCTCCTTGAGGTTGTGCAGCACAGAGGCCTCGTTCAGGCAGGTGAGCTCCGCCATGTCCTCCACCTTGGTGAACTTGGGTGGGTTCATCTTCTGAATGTCATCCTTGTTTACCTTCACCTGAGATTTACAGAAACAACACACCTGTCAGACGAGCTTCCAGAACAAGACGCAGATATTGGAAACATTTTATTTAGTTGCCTGTTAAAAACAACCTCATTTTACACATTCTTGACTTTCACCTTCTTGCCAGAGTCCGTCAGCTCCACCACACACTCGTCTCCAAGCTCCTCCTTCACGGAACCGGCCTCGAAGCCCAGCTTCTCAGAGGGGACCCACACCAGCTTCTTGGTGGCCCAGTCGGCCTGGGCCAGAGGGTTGTTCGCCCCACTGCGGTCCCCATACAGGAACTTGTCTGCGTCCGTCATGGTAGCTTTAGAAAGAGAGCAAGACAGAATTTTAACTAAATATGAACCAATTTTGACTAGTCAATTGGAGGCAACAAATCAAAAATAATATAATAATTGATATTTCACAGGGTACGTGGCTTCAGATCCCACATTAAACACAATACACAGAGACCAGAAACATCTCCTTTACACTGTACCGCAGTCATAACAGTCCTAATAACATTTTCTACCATTTTGCATTTTCTGTACATAATCCATTAAACATGGAAGTTACAATCAACCAACCCTAATTACTAAAACAGGAAACAAACACCCACAAAAATAAAGCCACAGATAAAACTCGACACTGACGCTACGAGCCCGGATTTGTTGCCATGTCATCCCTCCTCTTTCTTCATTTCCTGTCATTTCTCAACTCTTGCAATCGAATGAAGGCAAAAACATCTGCAATTATTTCTGTCCTTAACATAATTAAGATATGCTGGTGTTGCATTGGACATCTTGCAATATAACACGCAATTAGTAATTACATTCTAAAAAATACTTTACTAATTGCGTGTCCTGAAGTGTGACTACAGTCTCTGTTATTACTGCTTGTCATGAGACTAAAACCGTGACTCATCAGGTGCAATATTAAATGCGTGTGTTGAGTTTGTAGAAGGAGTTTGTAGCTTCGACGTGTGGTTCTAACTTTTCACACAAATAATGAACTGAGGGGTGAGCGATCTCGTTAAAGTGAAATTGACTGCACAGTCAGAAGTTAACAGAAGATACGGCACAAGTTCGGGCACATTACGACCACAACAGCTGTTGTTTTCATATTTCACCTCTTCACTCTATGACCTATAAACTGTGCTCTTCAATGTTGAGAAAAGGTGAGAGAACAGGTAAAAACTGGAGCGTTAACAATCCAGATGTTACTGTATGATCAGAGGAAAAATCCCACAGCGTCATTTGTTTCATTTTACCCCTTGTCAAAAGTATTCATGACCTCAGGCTCAACACAGTCAGACAGAACAATTAATGACTTTTCCTCTGAGCTCTACAGTGCGGCTCCATCCTATATTCCCTGTCTGACTCACATTCCTTCTTCACCAGCTCATTACACAGAATTCCACAAATTCCCGACTCTTCCTCCCACTCTTCATTATCCACAGCTCTCTTTAGAGTCGCAATTTCCGCCACAGGTAATTAATGTGCAGCTATTACATATAATTGTGCTTTGGGACAGTGAGACTGGCTCTGTGCATTTGAAGCCTCTAGAGTTATGTAAAAGAGCTGGTAAAAAGGTTGGTGCAGGGATGCTTTGCAGGCAGAGAGGCAGGAAGGAATGTCGGGAGCAAGTCTGGGCAGAGAGAGAAATGTCATTATTCCCCGACCACACCCAGGAGAAAGACTCAAAGCTTCATCCGAAAAAAAATTAGAAAAGAGAGAATAACTAAAAATATCAAATCCATCATGTGGAGTCTGCTCCGAACACTATTTTGAACTAATTCATTGTTTGTAGGAAACTTCCCTTCAGATGTGTCATCTTGTTTTCTAGACTCCTAAAAGTCATTGTGTTTAAAGTAAATATTAACTGCATGAGCAGCTTGATTTGTAATTTAAAAAAAAAAAAAAAGGTCTGTTGATGGTATTTAACATGTGACAGTAAGTCATTCCATTCAATAGAAACTTCTTCACCAATCTCTATCGAGACTTAGACAGTGGCTCTAGCACAGCAGTTGACTCAATAAACTAATAAAATAAACTGAGATGAGTTACGAGTAATGATTTCTCTGGATTATTTGATTGGCTATGCAGGGTTTGGCAATAAAGAAACTAAGATTAGAGAAAGGTCATAGGTTGGTAGCAGAAATATAATCTATCCTGCCACACCCAATTTGGGAACCACTGAGTGACTTATTAAAAACCCACTGGGTGTATATGGCCGTAAAAAACTGATATAGATAATTGAAGAGAATCAAAGTAAAATAATATGGCATTTAAAGATCTGGAGCCTCGTAATATTACTTTCAACAGGTGAGAGATTTTATCAGGATAAACATTTCTAAATAATCCAAATAGGAGCAATAATGCCGACACCTTAGTGGATTCATATACGAGTTATATTGTTGAGTTTTATAGTCGGTACAGAGAACAACAGGGAAGAACCCCAGGAAATGATTAAGAGAAGACCTGAGAATTCACATAACTCATAAATGTTTGTACAGCAGAAGTGTGTGTGTGTGT